CCCCAAAACCCCAAAACCCCAAGCTATTACAATTTGAATAAATAGTTGAGTTAATTCAATTTCAATAATTAACTTATACATTAGCCTAATAAATTAATTTTTACTTACAATTCTTTACAATATTTCTTTTATAGTTCTAGAATACTCTTCTCTCAACCAAGGAAAATCTCAAAAGCATAGCAAATAACTAAAATACTTTCCTGTTCCCATTTGTACTTCTAATACACATCCTCAATTTTATCTGAATACTTAATAAAGCAGAATCTATCTCTCTATATATATATTTAGTTGCGTAGCTTTAATTGAGTGTAAATTTACCGAAAGTCTTTTTTTATTATTAGATCTTTTTCGAGCAAACAAATACAAAGATTGCTCTTTTTTATATCGCCCGAGCATAGCCTTAATCAGATAAATCAATTCCATTACTTTAAGAGATTTTGGAAGCTTCAACCTAAGAAAAGTAAATGATGACATTATTTTTGACCAATTTCTTACTTTTTGTATTAACCTTCAACTCTTTTTTTATCAGAAAAATTTTTATAGGGTTGCAAAATACACATAACATGGTTTTCCATCTGATCATTATTGCTTTACTCAAAGATGATTGACTAAATACCTTAAACGAAATTCAAATGATGTTGAATTACATATAGAGTTTCAAGATAATTCATCAGCTTTGATTTCTTCAAATTCTAATACTTATTCTATTTCTTTCTCATCTTGCATTGCGAGATTACTAGTTAAGATCTATTAATTTCTAGTCCTAGTTAATTAAAAATAATCATCCTCCTCCTCTGGTTCATCTTTAATATCTAATTCATGTAATATCTCATCAATAGTTGTGGAGACATTTTATGACTCTTAGCTATATCCATATAAATGATTTTGACTATTTAATGAAAATTATGAATCAGATGTACTTTCCATTTATAATTATCAAAATAATTGATACTTGCAGAATAACTATTTTAGAATTCATGGGGTTTTGGGGTTTTGGGGTTTTGGGG